TGAAATATGGTAATTTGAGAGCTTGAAATTTTGGAAAATCGTAAAATTGGTAATTTGAAAGTTTCAGATTTTGGAAACTGAAATATGGTAATTTGAAAGCTTGAAATTTTAGAAAATCGTAAAACTGGTAATTTGAAAGTTTCAGATTTTGGAAACTGAAATATGGTAATTTGAGAGCTTGAAATTTTGGAAGATCGTAAAATTGGTAATTTGAAAGTTTCAGATTTTGGAAATTGAAATATGGTAATTTGAAAACTTGAAATTTTGGAAGATCGTAAAATTAGTAATTTGAAAGTTTCAGATTTTGGAAATTGAAATATGGTAATTTGAAAGCTTGAAATTTTTGAAGATCGTAAAATTGGTAATTTGAAAGTTTCAGATTTTGGAAACAGAAATATTTGTAATTTGAAAGCTTAAAATTTTGGGAAAATGCAAATTCGGTAATGTGAAAGTTATAAATTATAGCCCACAGAAAGTATTACCGTAGCAGAGTAATATAAGGAGAATAATATTTGATGTCATTTTGTAGAGACTGTGGAGTGGATCTATAAACTGTAACCCTCTTTTGAGCAAATTCAATATAAATGCTTCTAGGAGCGTTCGAAACTTTTCATCTTGTAAATCTCGGCTTTATTCTTCCTCTAAACTCTCAACTTTTGATCCTATTAGGTTGTTCGTAGTCTTAAACGAATACCTTAACGACATTGATATTTTTATAATTCTCAAACGAAGACTACTTTTATATGATTAATGAAATTTGTTGGGAATATTCGAAGGGAAAGTTCAAATTCAATTTTCTTGGAAAGGAAGTTGAGGATATATTTCATTCTTACAAATTTCACTTATTTTTTTCGAGTGAGTTTATTTAGGGTTTTTACTAGGTTTTCAAAATTGCAAATTGGGGAATTTGAAAATTTGGAAATTTGAAAATAAGAAAATTTAGGGACTTTAGAGAATTTAGGAAATTTAGGGGATTTAGAGAATTTAGGGAATTTGAGGAATTTAGAGAATTTAGGGAATTTAGGGGATTTAGCGAATTTAGTGAATTTAGAGAATTTAAAGAATTTAAAGAATTTAAAGAATTTGAGGAATTTAGAGAATTTAGAAAATTTAGGGAATTTAGCAAATTTAGTGAATTTAGGGAATTTAAGGGATTTAGAGAATTTAGAGGATTTAGGGAATTTAAGAAATTTAGAGAATTTAGGGAATTAAGGAAATTTGGGAAATTTAGGAAGTTTAGGGAATTTAGAGAATTTAGAGAATATAGGGAATTTAGAGAATTTGTAAATCTCAGAGTCTGACAGTTTCAAAATCTACAAATTCAGAAATTAGAGAATTTTAATTTTAATTTAACTTAGTTTAACAATTTAAAAAAATACAAATCTTGCAATTTGTAAACTGAGAAATTTGACAATTTAGAAATTAAAAAAATTGAAAATATGAAAATTTAATAAACCAAAAATCTATGAATTTAAGAATGTATATTAAATCAGAAACGCAGATATTTAAGATGTAATACAGAAATACTTACCAACTAAGTGGCCCTGATAGATATGCGACGTGTCGAGGTCCTCCGTCTGCCCGGAAGGGCCATCGATAATTAGGTTATTGCTAAATGTGGCCAAATCACGTTTCAGTCGAATATGAAAATCCCTTCCGTGCGAACGGAACTTGAGAGTCACGGAATTGTCGCGGGTAACCGACCTTTTGGCCCTCAGGTGACCTCGGTGGACCTCTTCGGTGGGATACGAAAGAGGTTCGTAATGGCGGATGTATTCGTTCAATCGACGAGCTGTAACAGAAAAGCAGATACCGTTTTAAAGTCGCAAACTCCTGGTACATTAAGTAATTACCTTAATTGTATTAACTATTTCTGGAGGCCATAAACTGAGAAATTAGACATAAATCAATTAGACACTATCCATAAAGATATTAACATTTCTAGTGACATTTTTGATATAAATTGTTAGATAACTATTTTTATTTGCACGAATGTACATTGATTAACTGATTTCGTAATAATTATTCACAAGCTTTTCCAGCTTGTAGTGACGTCAGTTTTCATCCATCATTCTCCATTATTCAGAAGGACTCATTTTAAAGAGGAAGCTTCAAAGAATATGACTATATTTATTTTAATTTTGAACTCCTTACGCTTCTCATTGAAAAAAACGCACAAAATGAATTTGTTTAAATATTCCGACATTTTATAACAAATTGACGGAATTAAAAAAAAATATTTTAAAATAATCCAATTCTTCATGAATGAAACAAAAAAGAATTTAGCTAAATCGGTTCAGTAGTTTCTGGGAAAATAATTCATAAGTGAAGCCTATTTTCGCAAAAATTAGTGAAATTGCAAAATTTTGCAAAAGGCTTGTTCCTTAAGAAATTCGAAACCGGCAAAATGATGACTTAAACTCCCCTTAATTTCGCATGGACTACAACATATTTTGATTAGAGCAAATTCGCAGATGATGACCAAAAGTGATCGATTTGAATGACCCATCGGCTATCCATCGATACGCGAAATTAAATCAATCGTATCTTCGAACAATTAATCGTAATTTCGAACGTTATCGCACAAACAGGAGAAAGCGATTCAAAATAGTGAAACAGAGAGCCTCCCAGAGGGTTAATAAATCGCGAGTCGTGCATTTACACGGCGTCCTTTTGTCGCGAAGAAAAGCCGGCTAATATAAATTCATGCAGCGTCCTCAAAAATTACGAGCTGTATCAGTCCGAGGAAATTGTAGGTTGGTCGCCACGGAGCAGTTTGTCTCGTTAACGCGACGGCGGATCTAGGAGGAAAATGCGAAATAACTTGAACAAAAACAGTCGGGGAATTTAACTCGAATCGCGAGATTCCTTAGTCGCTTTTGTGACTTTATGGATTCGGGAAAATTGGTATCTAGAGGAAATAGGGTCCTAGGGAAATTGGGATCCGGGGAAATTGGTATCTAAGGGAATTGGGTTCTAGAGAAATTTGGATCTAGGGAAACTTGGATGTTAGGGAATATGAATCTAGGGAAATATGGAACTAGGGAAATAGGATTTGGGAAATTGGGATCTGGGGTGATTGAGGTCTAGAGAAATTTGGAACTAGGGAAATTTGGATATTGGGAAATAGGGATCTAGGGAAATTCCGATCTAAGGGAATATGGAACTAGGGAAATAGGATTTGGGAAATTGGGATTTGGGGAAATTGGAATCTGGGGAAATTGGGATCTGGGGTAATTGAGGTCTAGAGAAATTTGGATATTGGGAAATAAAGATCTAGGAAAATTCCGATCTAAGAGAATATGGAACTAGGGAAATGGGATTTAGAAGATTGGGATCTAGGGAAACTTGGATCTGGGGAAATTGGGATCTAGGGAAATTGGGATCTGGGGTAATTGAGGTCTATAGAAATTTGGAACTAGGGAAATTTGGATATTGAGAAATAGGGATCTAGGGAAATTCCGATCTAGGGAGATATGGATCTAGGGAAACAGGATTTGGAAAATTGGATTCTAAGGAAATTAGAATCTGGGAAAATTGAGGTCTAGGGAAATTAGGATTTAGAGAAATATGAATCTAAGGAAATTCGGATCTAGGAAAATGGAAATCTAGAGAGACTGGGATCTAGAGAAATTTGGATCGCCTTTAACGCGACAGCGGATTCAGGAAGAAAATACGAAATAACTTGAGTAAAAAGAGTCGGGAAATTTAACTCGAATCGCGAGATTCCTCGGTCGCTTTTGTGGCAAGCGCCTCCGAGAGGACGCTTTTCACGGCGGTTCGACGGTTTTTCTCGCAAACGATCGAATCGCGTTGTTTACCGGGTTTGCCGCAAACGAGAAAATGGAAAGTACGAACACGAAATTGCGTGCCTGCCGAGTTCTGCGATAATGGATGCATAACTCTCGAGTAGTCGTTCCCGAAGGAAACGTATAACTAGCCTCGAAAGAGGCGGAAGATCCACCGCGTTAACAAGCACGGAGAACTTGAAATCTATGACGAATGCAACGTTGCGTAATGAAGAAAGTTGTAAATGGAGGGAAAATGAAATCTATATAGAACGCGTACTTCATAGAATTACTCTCGGAATATTGCACTTTTTGCTGCGGACGCAGAATTTTTGTCGGACAGTTACGGATTAATAACAAGGGTAAGAATTGTATAGTGGATTAATAACAAGTATGATTTGTACAAATATTTAGAAATTTAGAAAGAATGAACATACTTTTTTGTCGCAGGTTCGAGCCCGCTCGACTTGGTTTTTTTCCACGTTATATTTTTCATTTTTTTTTTCTTTTGTAATAATATTAATATAAATTCAAAGTGTTTTTAAATAACTGTTAAACATTTCTATATTCACAGGATACAAAACATCTGCAATTAATAGTATACATGTAGAATAGTATTTAATACATGTAATAATATTTTGTGAATTTGTGGTGTGGGGCATTTAGGGATGTGGGGCATTCAGGAGTCCTGGGAAGCTCCAGTAATTTTGGACAATTAGTGTGTGGTGTTTTGGGAGTATGGGGCACTCCACTAGTTCTTGGACAACTAGTGGTGTGTGGAGCATTTGGGGGTTTGGGCACTCCACTAGGTGTTGGATACCTAGTTGGTCTGTGGTATTTTGGGGGTATGGGGCACTCCACTAGTTCTTGGACAACTAGTGATGTGTGGAGCATTTGGGGGTATGGGGTGTATTCAGGGGTCAGGGCATTCCAGGGTTTGGGACATTCAGCGAGGGACACTCAGGGGTTTGCGTACCTATTGGGTCTGGGACAATCAGGGGTTTGTGTACCTATTGGGTCTGGGACGGAAGCTTCCATCGGGATGTCACCATGGTGAACAGTGTTAAGCAGGGCGCAGGACATGTTGTGTATCGGTGGTCAGCACCAGAATGCTTTCCATAAATGGAATCATCAATAGAGATTCCCCAAAATGGGACACTTAGGGGCGCGGGTATGAAACCAACTTGCTATCCCCTAACATAAAATGTGAGCATGCTTCCGCTTTCTACGTATAGGTAAAGACCGTATACGTGAATCGGAATCATGCCGTCGTCTCTTTCTCGCGGTTGTTTATTATAGGCACGGGAGCCCATTATAATTGCGAGAAGAACGATTCGCGGCTGGCCATCTAGCGGTTACGGTGCCTAATTCGCGATCCGCGGCCCCCGCGATACGCGTGAAAAAATGACCAGTGAGGGGAAGACCCCTCGCGACACCGTGAAGCTCGCGCGCCAAGAAATGTAATCTGATCCGCGGTTCCAGTGTATCCGTGAGACTATACCAATGCAAATATAAAACTTTTTTATTTTTGACTTTTTCGTTGTTAAACTTTTACCAATTAATTCTTGACATTTTTCCGATTAGAATGAGACCAAACACGGTATAATTTCGACTACGTTTACTGGTTTAATTGACGGTAGGATTTGAACAGGGAATAACGACAGAAGACGAAAGACGCTGGGATTGCATCGGTCAAAGATAAAGAGTCTGTTGTATTATTACAAAAAAAATTATTTAAATTATTACAAAAGAAAAAAAGCCCTTATCCGGCCAAAGCCTTTGAAAACTTGAAAATTCGAACATTTCACTATTATGAAATTTAAAAATAAAATTTGAGAATCTGAAAATTAAAAAAGTTTATAACAAAAAAAAGTATCTGAATTTCAAATATGAAATGCATGCAACTACGCAACTCCTACAGTTGACTAAAGAATACATTTTACCAAAAGAATGATTAAGAAAGGGATTATTCAAATTCTTCATACTTGAAATTGGTAAAATCGTTCAGTAGAAACGATAAATCGATTTCCGGAATATTCTATAAACATCCACGCTTCCGCACAGTTAAAAATATGAACAATTCGCGAAATATTTCGAATTCCAAAATAAAATACATATTTCATATAAAAGATCTGAAATATCCCACGAACTGTTGAATTTTTTAATACCGTGCCTCAATATTTATTCATGTAAAACGTTTCAGGCAATCTATATATACGTGCAAAAATGTTCTTCTAACAGTTATTTATAGTTTGCGATCGCATAAAAAAATTTATGCGATAAGAATTTATTAACAATGTCCATTAGAGAGAATTAAATAAATTAAATTACTGCGAACAGAATTTCATCTGTTAATATTATATTAATGTAAGGAATCAATTTATGAGATTTTATTTAAGTAACGTGTTTTACAATTAAGCTTTCAGGCAAATTTTTACTCTTTGATGCAATTTTTTGACTAACAGAATCTCGAAAAATATTGACAGGTTTTTTTCAACGAAGCAAGTACGTCAGTCAAGTTTTAAACGATTTTCACAGGAAATCAATAGTAATTTACTCCGTGTCTATTACATCCATTTTAAATTGCACAGAGCCATTCACAATGTATATTAATTTATTACATTATTGTCTTACACTGATTTATTAATACCAATTTAGCAAAAATAAATAATTTTGATATTTTGTAACATGTGTTTAAATACTGCGGTGGAAAATGATCAGTGATGGATGCAAAAGGGGGTTGTGGGGATCTCGAATCTCCCCAGCTTTAAAATACTTGTAAAAATAAAATTAATTTGAAAACAAATTATTTAAAAAGTAATTAATTTTTCTACAAATAATAATTTTTCTACATGGAACTTCAACTAGTTCAACTTCAACAATTTCTCACAAATAAATTTGTAACTTATTTACTACAAATAATAAATTAATTTTTCTGGTAAAAGTGCTTTTTACTTTTTTCAAAGACAATATTCAAAACACCCATAAAATTAATTACTAATAA